GACAGTGACGGCAGGGTATCACATTGTGAAATGGCAGAGCAGAGAGAGCAGAGAGAGCAGAGAGACTAACCTCTTCATTCACTCTCCTGTTAAAGTCCTCCAAATCACACTCCTGACCACCGTTTTTAATCCATTTATTATGGCATGGTCCTACAATCTAATCACGTCTTCAAGACCCACCTTTCAATTACCATAATAGGATTTCCCACCCTCAACAGTTACAGTGGGGATTAAGCTTGTAATATATGGACTTTGGGGGACACAATTCAATCAACCCACAGCAGTTGGTATTCTACCATAAATAAAAGTTTTCCCTTTTCTTTTATTTATTTATTTGTTTGTTTGTTTAAATAGTTGCACTCAAAGATTCTTCTTTTATTCCACAAATAATCTTGTTCCTATCATTGTTTATTTTGATACCCAAATTGCTCCAGGTTTGGCTCATGTCTCTTTGACATGTCCTCATCATTTTTTGAGCACTTCCTTGCCTTCTGGCACAAAAAGATGCCCAGTCCTGGACCCAGCCAAATCTCCAAGGTTCCCTGGGTCATTTTTGTAGGAGAATGAATTGAGAAACCAAGATGAAGGCACTAGATGTGCTCATTGCCCTGGCTTATGTTTGCTTTTAGGCCCTTTCAGTGGACACACACACACACACACACACACACACACACACACACCCGCTCATGGGTTATGATAACTGCAATTCCAGTTCAACACTATAGGGTTCATTCTAGTCTTCCCTCTTTATATATGAACTTCCTTCTCTGACAATGAACACCCTAGCTCCCATTATCCCCAATGTATTTTCTCATTTGCTCAATCCTACAATACACTACTTTAACAGCTACCACTGCGAAAACATTTTTCTCACTGAAGTTCAATGTTTATGTTTTGATGGGAGGGGCCATTAGACCTTGATTATATAACCAAAGAATTGTATTTCAGAGTTACTTAGGTATTATTATTATTACTATTATTATTATTATTCCTTGTGTGGTTATTTTATTCACTTGCATGCTATTAGGTTCATTTGTTCCTGGTTTTATTCCATTTTCCTACTCTTTCTTGTTTTTTCTATTTATTTTTTGAAAAATGTAAAACAAAATTTCTCCAAAAGTCAAAACTCTATAAAAAGTTCCCAGAGAAGTGTCACTCCCCCATCCCTCTACCACCTTCATATTGATCCCTTATTACCAATTAACCAGGTAACCAAGATCATTCATTTTGGGTTTATCCAGGCTATGTTTATTTTTGGAAAAAATAAGCATATATGTGTACATGTAGAAGTTTCCTATTTTCCTTCTTTCGTACAGAAAAGATAACACAAGAAAGGTACTCTTTTGCACTTTGCTATTTTCACTTAACAATATATCCTGAAAACACTCCATATTAGTTTATAAAGATCTACCTTATACTTTTTTCTTTTCAGCTACGTAATGCTTCATTGTGTGAATGTACCATAATTTATTCAATCAGTTTCCTATGTATGGAAATTTATGTTGTTGTCAATATTTTATAATTACAAATAATGAATAATATTGTGCAAATGTACTTTTATTTTTATTGGGGGTATAAACCATGACTTTTAAATCAGCTGTTTTTCTTTTTTTCAAGTTAAACACATGTTTAGGCATCAAAAAGTATTAACTCCTTTTTCGTGTAAAAACAAAGATGCATGACAATATGCTGACTGAAAAGCTACATTGGAATTTTGTGGTCTGGGAAACTGTAACTACATTTTGTGGAAGTAGAAATTGTACCACATATTTGTATAACAGCAAAGCAAGTGCGGTCTCTAGGAAGTATAGGTAAAGTTGATTAGATTGCAGTGTATGCTTAAAACTTGAATAATACACTCTTGTAAAACACTCTTCAAAATTATTTAACTTCCCATGATATCATCACAGCATGTGCAAAAAAAAAAAAAAAATCTTTAGTGTTATCTTTTCCTGTCATGTGACTAGTGCAAACAAAAGAAATCCTTATCTTTTTGTTTCTATTCTGGTCCTTTATAAAATGGCATTAAGCACCATTCAAAACTTACACATTAAAAGGTTTAGTTTGGGAAAAAAGATTTATTTTGTGGTTCACACAAATTATATTTGCTAAATTATAAAGCAAAGATTTTCCCAACAATGGAAGTGTTCAGCACGTTCTATGCATGGAAAACTTTAGTTTTAAAATCACTTTCCTATATATTTTCATATGTAAGTCTCATAGTGACCCTGTGCATAGTGAACTATGCAGGAGTTACATTGTCCTTATTTTACAAATGGGGAAATAGAGGCATTTAGGGAATTTAAGGAAACTGCACTGGGATGTTGAACTCTGGACTAAACCCTTAACTAGAATCCAGGTCATTTTTTTTCGCCATAAAGTGGCATGTATCATAGGGTATTGTGGTGATCAAATAAGGTAATGCACATGAAAATGCTAAGGTATGCAAAGAGAAGTTAATTCTACTATTAAAGTATTAGTGCTTTGTTAAGTACACGTAAAAATTTTCCCATATTTTAGCGTACATATATAAAAGTAACACAAGAGATTAAAACACTCTAAATCTATAGATCACACAGCCAGACTGTGGGGAAATATTTTATAGACTGAACTAGTACCTCTAGGAGCAGGTGATGATAATGTATATCCATTGTGGAATAATTAACAGCATTAGGTGTTGCTCAGAACTGAGACCTTGAAACAAACCTCATTAGAAGGCACTTGATCTAAGTTTAAAACCTTTAAGTATCTCCTCTTTAAAAGTGATCAATGTATGTACTGGCTACTTTAGTTATGCCGCTATGAGATTCACACAACTTTGATCTAACTTTCTTTGATTTAACACTGCAATTAAGAAGATTTGGTTCAAAGTAAAAGCTCATTGGTTGATGTTTTACACTGATGTGATAATGTTTACACAGATGTGCTTTGAAATCTTGATTATGGTGGATTTGGGGGTCCTACCACAAGACAGACTGCTGTTATTTGAAAGGTGAGATAATATGACGTTTACCTGGTACAACCTTCTAAAACAGACTTAGCAATATACGTTTCTATAGTGATTTATCTGTTTATTGTTTCTAGCTAGAGTTTTTGTTTTATTTCATATCTATCAACAGTAAATCAGTTGCTTTAAGGTCTCTTTTATAACTCGGTTGCACAAGGGTCAGTGCTTAGGCCTGTACTGATGAAAAGTTATAACTTTACCTACTTTAAAGAACCTGCCAATTAATTAGCAAAAAACCCTTCAGAGTAGATAAAATAAACCAGTCAAATCCAACTGAGCTCCCAGGTTTAGGATTCTGCTGAACAGACCATGAAACAAGACTGAAAAACTAATCTTGAGTGATGCTCTAAAATTTTTTGCTCAGGGGAAGCATAAATCTGCCAAATGATTCTCAACTCTTCTGCTGCTGAAAAAATTTAATGGAAAGATCTTGCATTTAACTAGTGGCACAAAACCAAAGTTTTAACATTTAAATGGACAACCATCTAACTCCTTTACTTCAATGGCTTTTCATTTTGCAAGTATGCACAGGCACTCAAATTCTACCAGTAACTTTTGAAGTTTCAAAATGCATCAAGAATCAACACTATTTCCATTTGATTTTTTTTTGATTTTATAATTAAAATGTGAACAAAAAATCTAGCCTAAAAGAAAATGCAACTAAGAAAAATAAGAAGTGCTGTTACATTGGATAGGGGCCCCAGAGGCCATTCATCATTTATGATACTCTTCCAGATATTCATTTTCTATTCATGGCAAAAGGTAAGAATGCAAACCATCTCTTTTCAGACTATTTGGATTTACTCCTCATTCCTTGGTTCATATTATATTATGTTATTATGTTATTATATTATGCTAATTACAAGTTCATGACCTCAGCACACAGTTTAAATTTTTCACGTAGATATAAGGCAATCTTGGTTATATCATGTGCTATCTGAGTAAAGATAAACATTAAAGAGGACTTGGGAAGGGGGGGGGGTAGAGTGTTCCTAACCTAACCTTGATTATGTAAAGAAAATCCCCCATCTAAATGATAAAAGAAAAAAGTAATGCCTGTACATTTTATTAGTGTTTTGAAATTAGTGAGTTAAACTGTCAAAGCTTTGATTTTCCTTTCATGTGTGTCTGGGCAGGTCTAAGCCTCAGGTAACGCCCTTTTCCCTTCTCCCTCTCTTACCTTTCTTTGCACCTGTCCTATGCAGGCTCCCAGCAGCTCCCAAGTCCAATTCTCCTCTTCTCTCCTTTTCCACCTCGTACCCATGCCCCCCTGTCCTCCCCCACCCCTTTCCTTCCCTCCCCTTCCTCTTCTATATACCTGCCAAGCTGGGCTCCTTTTAGAGGCGATCTATCACTGCAAAGGAGCTCACATCAAAGGCGGTTGCACAGCAGCCGCGGAACAGCATCACCGTCGTCCCGAAGACAACCCCAAAGAGGAACCTCGACTGCGCCTCCCCGAAGTTGCTGTCTGGGTTTGGCCAAGCGCGGGAATGATTTTTGCGAGTGCATGGACAGAGAACCGTCAAGGGCCCTTTCTGGTCACTTCCAAAGAGCAAAAACGTGTTGAGAGGAGGCCGGTTTAAGATTTCAAACAGAACCTCCCCAGCGTGCTTGAAAGGACTTGATTAGCATATGTCAAGAGGACCCGCATATATACTCGGCGTGTATGTGCACAGGACTCTGATCTGATCAGTTCGCGGAGCCGGAGCCCCAGCCCCCAGCCCAGCTCCAGTATTGGCAGCGGCAGCTATAGATGTTCCTGCACAGCCAGAAGCCGGCTCCCACCTACCCGAGGAGAGAAGACCGCTCCAAGACAGTGAAAGCCTCCCTGCTATTCCAGTGCAAAGTCCCTTCAGCGACCTCACCCCGGTCACCCGGCAGTTTACTTTTTGCGCAGTTTTTTCTATACTTTTCCCCCATCCTCCTCCCCACCCGCGCTACCCTTTTTCCTGGAGGTCTTTTGTTTTTCTGATCCTCTCCCTCTGGCCCCTCCATGGCTCCCTTAGCCGAAGTCGGGGGCTTCCTAGGCGGCCTGGAGGGCTTGGGCCAGCAGGTGGGCTCGCACTTCCTGTTGCCTCCCGCCGGGGAGCGGCCGCCTCTGCTGGGCGAGCGCCGGG